TTGCTGCTGCATTCTGAATAATAACCCTAGTCTTGAAGAAGGCCCGTTTAAATTCTAAATATCCTTGAAAATTCTCTCCTTTTATGTAGCTTTAGGCAAAAAAAATTCTCCAGCAACCTGGGAAATGAGGGGGTTTTTTTCAGTTTTGTAACATGAGTAAGCATTCCCTTGACACTTAGTCATGTGTATTTCTTTTTGCTGTGTTTTAATATCTAAAGTACTGCCTTAGAAGTATAAATCTTACGTTAGACATGTTTCAAAATCTTATATTACTGTAAAAGGTATATTTTAATTCTAATCATAGTATTATCTGAAGTATTGATATGTAAAGATCAGTGCAAATACATTTATTTCAGCTTCTGTGAGATGTTACAGTAAATTCTTTCCAAAGCTAGCAGAGAACTTAGGCTTTTTGAACTGATGGTAGAATCGGCAATGATTTCTGTGTAAAGCTGAAAATGGTATGAACGGCATATGCTGTTTTGGTTTGGGTTTTTTTTGTTTCCACTTAAAGCTGTCATACTCAACAAAAAAAAAGTAAATAAATTGAGCAGCTAATGCACATAGAAATGCTATTGTTGTATTTACGTGCAATACGTTCCTTTCTCCCCCTCCCCCCTGCCCCAAGGTCCTACATGTAAATGTTTTTCTTCAATAGAATTTATCCGGTCTTCTGGATGCATAGTGAGTCGATGGCTTATTGCAAACAGAATTTTCAGTTTACTTCTAATTATTTGACATTTGTTGGATTGTATGATGTCATTTGAGACATAAATATTTATTTACTACTGTTCTTATTTTTGCTTAATCTTACATTGCTTAGCTGCTTGCGCACAATTATTTTCCAAAACTGTGTATAACTGTTCAGTTTCTCCAAAGGTGAACCACAAAAAAAGATTAATGGCACCAATGACTATAATTTATTCCTTGAGTAGTAATAAGTACATGGAGTACTTTCCAGCCACATGTGTTCATTGTTTCAGCTGATGTGATTTATATAGTGAAATACGAGTCCGGCTCATGTAATTGAATGCTACATCTTGGGCTGCAGGACAATAAATGAGATTAAGCTGTATTACGTTTCTGAAGGCAGAATATACAGTTGGTAAAATGGGTGGGTTTTAACATTTAGCTTCAGAAAAGAAGTTACTTCAAAAGTAAACGTTTTCTAACTAAACAAGAAGTAGGCTAGTGTATGTTGGCAGTTTGTTATCATAAAATCTAATTAAGTTATGATTCATATAATTGAGAGCTTATCATCTTTGCATTGGTGTCTGTTTTCCAAAGAAGTGTTTCAAACATGCTTTCATAGTCTGTTTTAAAGAATTAGACTTAAATAAAACTCTTATGATGGAAGTAAAAACAGTAGTCTAATTTTACATTTACGTAGGATTTTATATTCTGTTTCCATTTTTCAGTTTGATATTGTTTTTAAACATAAATTAATTGTCTTTGGGGAAGATCTATAGTGGGTGGGGTAGATACAATTTCTGTATTATACAGAATAGTATGTAGAATTTATGGGGTTATTAAAGCCTCAGTTTGGCAAACTGCCGTATAGTTGCATCATCCTGTAATCATTATCTTTTCTGGCACCTGACCTTACTCTTAAGAAATACCATGCTTTTAGTTATCCTTTCACTCTTAACTTGTAATTTGCTTTTCTTATTAGATTATTAACAGGAAAAAAGGCTTTAATTTTCATATTAAAAATGAATATTCTACAGTCTTACTGCAGCCCCAGCATGAGATTCCTCAAATAATCAATATAGATACTCCAGTGTTTGCTAAATGTTCAATGCTTGCTATTTATAACAAAGGGCTGCTATTGGATGAATACCCATAGTATTGCACACTTACGACATTTTTTGTTTCTCCTGTTCTTAATATATTTTTTTTCTAAACACTCATTTTAAGAAATACTCAGCCTTTTGTCAGAACAAATGCTTCGACTCTGCTCTGCTGCTGAATGATATTGCGCAGAGAAGGCAATGGCAAGGAGTTTGTTGTTTTTGACAGCACCACTAAAAGCATGAAATGTTTCTGAAGGATTGGCAGAGCCTTGTAATAAGGGCTGCAGGAAATGACTGTGTTGGGTGTGGAAGAAAGACACTGTCCAGATTTAACACACGAGCTACTGAAATACTTGAAAACAGAGGACAGGAAATGGTATCATAGGATAGACTAAAGTGCTATACAGAACTCCATTGTTTATACAAAGTTATTGTTCTGAAGTTTAAATTTGACTCAGCACCGCAGCTTTGGCATATAAAAGGTAACACTGACAACCTAGTGAGTAATAAAATGCTATTTATTGTTAGATTAAAGCCCAGACTTTACTTTCTTATAACAGTAAGTTCTTTATGTTCTGGCATTTTTGCTGAAAATGGAAGATACTGTAACAATATTTTAGATACAATTTGGTGAAAATTATGGTATTTTCTAATAATTTTTCCTCTCTCACATCTTTCCAAGTCCACTTAATTTTTACTCTGTCCATTGTGCAAGATTTCTCTTGCAATCTGATGCTATGTAGGCTAACTAATGTTTACACTCATTTATAATGGATAGGTATTGATGCATAACTGTATTTAACAAAACCATGATTCTGTGAAAACTGTCTCATGGTTTCAGGAACCTTAGGCGTAGCACGGAACTTAATTTCTCTTTTTTAGCTGGTTGTTTTTTCTGTGTGACCTAGCTGTGGCTAGTTTTCTCCTAGCAGTCAAGAGTATATTTAGCTCTAGTATGTATTCTCAGCTCCAGCCCAACTTTTCAGCCGCTTTAACAAAATTTTGTCACTAACCTAGAAGCATCCCAATAAATTCTGCTGTTTTCTGCTGAGGAATGTAGATGCTTTTGCTTAATTACAAAATGAGTCTTTGCTGTGGTTTTTAATACAGAAGGAAGAATGCTGACATAAAAAGCTTTTTCTTCTTTCTGCTGTCTGTGTTCCTTCTTTCCCCCATAACTTCTGAGTTAAATGGTAGAATTATCAGAAAATGTATTCCCATACCTGCCCCCCCCCCCGCCCCGCCCCGGCTTCAGGAAAGTACTAAATTAGAATAACTGCTCCTTGCTCTGTTAACCTTGAAAAACTCAAGGGACTTATCAGATCATCCATGTATCGTCAGGCTTTTGGCACAATAGGAAATACACAAAGAAAGTAAATCCAGAATTTGAAATCCTGGCTTTAAAGTTGTGAATTTACTGCTCATCCGTATGTGAACAAGAATACTGTGGTTGCAAATTCCAGTAAGTTCTACCTACTTACAATTTTTTTCTTTAAAAATATTTAGCAATAACTTTGTTTCCAAAAGACCTTTATAAAACTCAGTAGAATATCTTCAGATCAGCACAAGAGCTTTGTTATAATTCTTACATTAATCTTTGCTTTTGCCATTTCTAAATCGATAAAACAATATGTAGGGTTCCATTTATGGTGGACAGGGAAAAGGTGAGGATTGCATTTGGCAGTTCCCCCACTACGTAACAAGGATCACGGGAGGAGGCTCCCTCATTAGCATCCTGGTGAATTCACACCTAGGTTCTCAACATATACTAGTGAAGTATCTTAGCAGTACCAGTCACCTTCATGAAGTGTTGTGCTGTTACTGATGCGTGTTATTGCTGCTTCATTCTTGGTAAGCTTTTAAAGGCATTACAAATTTTGCTAAGGAAGGTTGAATGTGACACTGACAACTTTCTTATTTTAATTGCTTTTAGATTAATATGTACTTAATGTAATAAAATTGGATTGGGCATAGGGGCCTATTCAAATTAGAATAATAATACAAAATTCATGCCAATATGGTGCTACAGGCTATTAGAAGAGAATTTCCCACACAGTGAACTTTGTGTCATAGACTTTTCCCTGAATTGTGACTATAAAGGCTGCTCTCAGAACAGCAATGTTAGTATAAACATAATCTTACTATGAATTGTATTTATTTATACACACACATACACAAGTTCTGTAGTGTGAACTATAGGGTTCCCTGTTGCGAAATTCCCCTCGCTTAACTTTTTTTCATTTGCAGCTAAATAAGGTGTGTGTATTTTGGGAATTGTTGGTATAAATATGATAAAATCATTGGAATGTGGCTTTAAATTTTTTTCTGAGAAATATATTTTGGTTAACATGATTGGTGCTTTTGTCAGTACAGGAAAATAGAATACTAGGCACTTAACTGTTTTACTGTCTTGTTACTTTTTTCTAATCTGTTTTGAGTGTAAGCTAAGGCCTGTATCTTGAGCGTATTCAGCTTTTGGAGATTTCAGTGCTGAAGCCAGGACCTGTAGGCTTTGGCTTGTCTAATTCTACTTAGAATGAGTAAGGTGGAGAAAGACCTGTGTAAAATAAATTGACAGGCATAAATGGCACGTATATCTGTGTCCAGAGATTGGAATGAATTTGAAGAGAAAGGATTTGTTCCCCTCATTGTTGCTAAATGTAATAATCAGACAGTATGTATTTTTGAGACAAATTAATTTTATTAGAGAATAGATGCTGGAGTCCTGCAGATCTTGAAGATATTTGAAGAATACATTTTAGAAATAGAGACTTTAAGAGCTGATTTTTTTTTTTTTTTTTTTTTTTTATTCTCACAGGCAACAATTCAGTATAGTTCATATTCTGGGGGTGGGGACGAAGTGGGGTTGTGCAAAAGCACGCTTTTTTGCAAGCTTAGCCTGGAGGAACTTCAAAGGGCAAAATAAAAAAACCACAACAGATGTTATTAGAAACAGTTCTTTGGCAATATGCTCTTCTCAGCGTTTAAGCTGCCACAGTGTGCCCTTGAGGTGATACTACCTTTACATATTGATCTTGTGGTGAAAGTGCTTTCTGTTTGTTCGATCATTTGATACTGCACCTCTTGTGAGAAGTTTTTTATTGGAAGTTTTACGAAAGAAATATTTAGTAATTTGTACATGTGCACCAAAATTTTGTATTGCTACTTCTCTTCAGTATTACAGTACATCTGTTTTTCCTCTTTCAGGAAATGGGTTTGTGAATTCTCGAGCTTCACCAAGTCTACTTGGAACTACTGGTGGTGGGAATGGCTTAGGCAAAGTCATGCCTACAAAGTCTCCACCTCCACCTGGAGGAGGTAATCTTGGAATGAACAATCGCAAACCCGACCTCCGTGTTGTCATCCCACCCTCCAGCAAGGGTATGATGCCACCATTGGTAAGTTAAAACATTTGTTCTATGACTGGCTTTGTAAAAATGAAGTGTTCTGTCCGCATGCACAAGGAGAAATTACCTCATCTGCTTACCATAGGTTACAGTAATAGAAAGCTGTGTTTATTCTGAAATTTCCCTAATGAAAATCTAAGCTATAAGTTGTTACCTTGGGAGAAGTTAAATTTTAAGGCATTTTTTTTTTAAAGTGTAAAATAGCAGTCTGACCTAAATGCAGTTAGAGTGCAATCCTAGAGGCATAGATTGGGATTTTGTTGTTTTGATATGACATCTCGCTGACTCGGTACCAAGAACTTTGCTGGTTAGGAGGATGTGGGTTTTAAAAAGGGTTATGCATTATTCTGTGGAGGAATGGCTGATCTTATTGGTGATGTGAACTGTATTAACATGCCCTAAAGCACACTTTGTACCTGTTTTTCCTGGGTCGTAATGGTTGTGGGCTGTAAAACGTAGCTTCAGTGGTAATGATGGTCTGAGAGAAATGCTTGTTTGATGTGGTGTGCTGGAATGCAACCTTGTGTGTCCTATGGTGGATGTCATGTCTTCAGTGAAGGCATAAAAGAGTAATGAGGATCAGGCTCAGTCCCTATTTGTGTACTTTTCAATACTACAGTGCAGTTTGGCATGTTGGTAGTAATGTTTGTTCAGCCTAGATTTGGAATAGCACACAAATTTCGTGTCAGGCATGAGGCAACCACAGCACTGAGACCAGAACAGGTCTTTCAGGAAGAGTTACTCTATTTTTCCTTTAATTTGGTTGGCCAGATCCTTTGGTCTTAGTCTTTAACTGTCATGTAGAAATTTTAAACATCTATGTGTATGTTTTCTGTGTATGGAGGAATGAACCATAACCCAGAGGAGCAGGATATAAACAATACAAGTATTCTCTGTATAATTCTTATTTGTTTTTAAGATACCACAAGTGCTTACATTTGTTACTGGTATTCATAATGAATAATACAAAATTAATCCAAGTAACAAAAGCTGTAATTATCCTCAGAGTAATGATTCTTGCAGTTTTAGGTTTTTCTAGGAATGCTGAAGTGTAGAAGACACAGGAAATACACTGGCTGATTATTTAATTGAAAATTAGGCTTTTAAATTAATTAGAAATAGCTACAAGAAGAGGATCTTGTTAATGCAGTTGTTCTAATGTTAGTAGTGTACAGTACCTATTTACTGTTGTGTTGTGAAGAACAACAAAATATTCAATTTAGGTTTTGTCTGTCTTTTTGAGGAAATTGGAAGTAGAGATGCTGGGATGGTATGATGGTTGTATGTGAAAAATATTTTGTTACTGAGCTGGATGTTTATTGGATCAGTCCAGCCAGAAACTGCTGTGCTCCATATCTACATGTGTCGTCAATGTGTAGCTGTGTCCTTGGTTTTACTAAGCTCTTTCTGCACTAATTTTGCCAAAGCGTGTGTTCTTTCAGTACAGTATTTTTTAATTGACCCAAATTACGTAAAGTATTATACTTCCCAGTAGTATTATTTACAGAACCGGGTGGCAAATTCACATTATTAATTAAATAAAATTCCTGAAGCACAAAAATGACTTTTTCTTTCATTTTTGAAAGCAATGCTATTTTTAGTAACTGTGTTATCCCTCTTGTTTGCTGAGTACAGTCGGAGGAGGATGAATTGGAGTTGGTGAGTTTGGGCTATTGTTTGATGAGAGAGAGCAAGACGCTGAAAATGTCTTTTACTACAGTTTTTTTAACTGTAGTTTCATTACATATTTTAAATAATTCCAGTGTTCCCTTGATAGCAGACAAATACATTTGTTTTATCAAACTCAAAACACGACCAATTCAAGTTGAAAACACATCCAAAGTCTAGCGCTTTCCATTTGTAAACTTCTATTTTTTTTTCCTGAAAAATTTTCTGGTTTTCTTGGAGGGAACATTGGAAAAGAGCCTTACAGAGTAACTGTCCATGTGTATAGGATATTTACTGTCTTTTCTGTAAAATATAAATAACCACTTAACATCATTTAAATTATTGGAATATTTTTAGAAAGTGGCTTCGCTCATGAAGTTCTTCAGATTGTAACACAAGCCCTGTATTACTTCTCTTATTTTCAAGGAGATTACATCATTGCTGGTGAGGTCACCTTTTTGGAGTGTAGAATTATTTCATCCTGTGTGAGATTATCAAACCACAGGGGTGTTCCCTGTTTACCAAAAGGAATAGAGAATTGCAAATGAATAATTCTACCTTTTTCCAGTGGAAAGATACTCTGCTTTTGAAAGGAAACTCTTGGGATTTGTGTTTTCTCTATTCTTCCAAAAGGTTTTAACATTTGGCATTCTGTCTGGAAAATAACGTAAGGCTAAAATAATTTGTAACTTATTTTTAGAGCAATTTGCAAATTGTTTAGCTGCTGTAGCAGAAACCATGCAGAAGATGCTGCATCATTGTAAAGATACACAAAGAAGTCTGCCTATTACATACCTTGATTTGTTTTTGAACATGGACCTGTTGCTAATATGAGGCTCTAATTGCATGAAAGCATGGAAAATGTAGTGATTTAGGTAAATTTCTTGATGAATGCATGCTGTTGGTTGATTTTTTTACCTTAAACATGAGCAATAGATTTACAGAAGTAAGTAAAGGGAAATGATTTTTGAAAGTCAGTATTTAAGTTTTTAAGGTTTATTGGAATGACTTGAGGTTATAAACAGCTGTCATGCATGCCCTTCCTACCTTTATAGAGGAGTGTCTGGTTTCCAGTGCAAGAAATAGAATTTTAATTCGATGTAAAAACACTTAATCAAAATCGTGTTGCAACTGGAATTATGCAAGAGCACTTGAGTTAAGGTATTCCTACCTGTTAAAAAGTGCTATGCTCTTTGCAGTGTGAAATAGTGTGACTTGCTGGAGGCGCGTTGGTTTATGGATACTATATGGAGCGTGGGCCCTCTAGTGGTTTTAAAAACTGGGCTCATCTGTTAGGGGAAGAAAGCTCACACAAAGAAAATGTAGTAGTTAGTGTCTTCCTCAAATGTGGTAAAGAAATATGAAGTACACCTGCAATGTTACGTCTCTTATTATGCTAATTTCTGATGCTAATTCCAGTCCTAGAAAGCAGTTCCAAATCATGTCTGTGAACATTCATTCTGTGTGGTTGGAACTGAGCACTGAATATGAAAAACAGTTAAGAACGGTAGCATAGCATGAAATAAAGATATTGAATTCTTCCTGTTACTGCTATCATTTGCACCGGTTTAAAAAATAATAAAAAAAATTCCTAAAAGTTTTCATGAATCTTTGGCTGAATTTCCAAGTACAACAAATATTAGACACAACTAAATATGTCTTAGTGTCTTTTTATGGCTGAGTGTTCAGGAATTATATTCAGAAATAAATTACCTCAGAAAACTACCTTTATTAGCCACTCAAAAAAAAAAAAAAAAACCAACCCCATGGGGAAATCCTTTGGTCTGGATTGTTTCCCAGTATACTCCTCTAACTTTTCCATTATACAGTAATCCCAACTTTATAGGCTGCCATCCAAGAAAGCTTTGGAAAAAGGTCAATTTCTGACAGACACAAAAATCTGCTCTAATAACATATCTTTATGCCAGATAAACTTGGTCTAGTGGAGATTTTCAGAAGTACATAAGTGATTTAAAGGGATAAATTACACAGAAAATCAGTGTGACTTTCTCTGTGACTTAGGGCTTTGAAATCTGGGAGCTCTGAAGCAGAGTGAGTACATCTGCTGAACAAATGCCAAAGAGCCTCCAAATTCTTACGAGGCTCAAAGGTGGGCTTTTAACAGCAGCCAGACAAAACAGAGATCAGAAGCTGGTAGCCAGTGGAAGATTGTAGCTAATTTTAATGTGGTAGCTGTGCTATACTTTTTTTCTTTAAATTGGAAAGATACAAGCCAAGGATTGCTAGCCCTCGATTCATCTTAGCAAGTTTAAGCTTAAAATTGAATAGAGCCATGTTTCTGTGCCTGCTCATTCCATTATTATAAAGGGAATCATGCATTTTTAATACCGCTCACTCTCTCAAGATCAGTGGAGAAAAAAATTAAGTGCTGCAGATACTGAAATACTTGTACACCTGTCCAAAATAAGAAAAAAGTAGTAGTAGCTTCAGTCTTTTAAAGCTAGGAAAAGGAACTCTACGAAAGAGATGAAAACCTGCTACTTTTGTAGCAAATATTTTTTCAGAGATAGAGGGAGGCTTGCTTTAAAAACGTATTTTCAGCAGTTTGAAATCTGGCTCCCTTTAATCAGGAATGGTTTATTCACCACAGTGTTTAATACAAGGTTTTCTAAACAGCAAATTTGGTTAAAGAGTTTAATTTAAGTGCTGTGTTTGCTACAGATGTTCATTCTGGTATATGGGAAAGACTGTTGTTAAAAAGCCACATTGTGCTTACAGTTAGAACGGATAATCTGAGACAATCTAGTTTAGCTATTTTTCCTGTCAAAAAGCACAGTTGCTCTGTGTGAACTCAAATGTCATTTGCTTTGAAACATATCTGCATTATAACAAGTACTCTCTGTTTCTCAGGAACCATGGGAACAGCAAGATTATTTTATCACTGAGGTCTTATCAACACAAATTTAGAAGATCTCTGTTCCTTTCAGGACAGGTGTAGTCAGCACAGTGTCAAAACTGGCAGCTAGAATTTTGAAAATTGGATAAACAGCTGGGAAGTGGGAGATTCTTTTCTGGTGGAACTGCACCTCACCATCTGCACTAAAACCTCTTTAAAAATTAAGACTAAAAACTCTTAAATCACTTAAGAACTTCTGAGAATTATTATGTATATCCCTAAGAAATTGCATTTATTTTTATGTCCTACAACTCTAACACTATTGAAATCTGCATGCATGGGAAGCAGACCAGTGAGTCTTAATTTTTCATTTCAGTTTGCCAAGATCATTTTGGTTGTCTTGAAATGTTTTGGCCTGTTTAGAAAATATATCCTGACAAAAGGGCTGTACTTGTAACTAAAAAATAAAGCAAAGAAACCCATTTTAATTGAATGCTATTTTTATATTAGCACTTGATTTTCCATTGTTCTAACTGATATCACAAGACATGTTGTTATTTTTAATCATTTATAGAATACCCAAAGGATAAGTAGTTCTCAGTCTACACAGCCTCTTGCTACCCCTGTGGTGTCTGTGACAACTCCAAGCTTGCCTCCACAGGGATTGGTGTATTCGGCCATGCCTACAGCCTACAACACTGGTAAGCATTGTTTTTAATAAGTGGCTTGATCTGTCAGATGTACAAGGCTTTTGTGATTCATAAGCCCAGAAAATTTGCATTTCTGTGACACTTCATTTTATTTTTCCTATTCAGTTCAAATGAAGGCTCTTACCATCAAAAATGAGCCTTTAGCTTGTAAAACATGTAAATGTTGAGACATCAGGAAGAAGCTTTGTCAGTCAGGTTGCACACAGCTGAAGAGAGACACACAATAAAATGGATTGCTTACAGCAGTAGCATTCAAGCTTTCCATCGGAGAACTGAAATACCTCACGTTTAAGCAATAGTTGATACTGCAGAGCATATTGTCCCTTTTGTTCTGCTCTGCTCAGTTCCAGCAGCAGGAGGGAATCGGATTCTGCTGGGGCTTTCAATTTACAAAAAAGCCCAGATAGGGCCGCCTTCTCTTCAGCAGTTTTATCGAGAGTCAGGTGGGGACTCATGGGAAGGCATTGTCAGCATTTCACCACTGCGAGTCTCCATTATCTGAAGGACCTTAAAACTACTTTTTATCCAAGATGGGTGTGATGCAAGGAATTTGGAGATATAAGTGATAATTGGTTTGCTGGTTTGGAAAGCAGTTCATGATGTGGTGCCTCCTACTTTGTCTCCATACTGATAGAGATAATTTTGACTTCAATCTCGGGGTTCTCTATTTGTTACAGACCTTGTATGTAATCAGTAAAGGAATTTTTGTAATCATTTCCTTGAAAGGCTGCAGCCTTGATGGCATCAGGTTGATTACCATTGATCTGTGATGCATAATTCAATTTTCAAATGCACCTGCAGAGAAACTACATTGCAGATAAGTGTCAATAAATTTTGTAAGTCAGAGTTAAAATAGCTATCGGTAAAAACTAAAAAGGAAAGCAAAGGAAGTAATTCCCCAGTTCACTGTTCTTTTTAGATGAAGTCTAGTTAAGACATTCAAATCTAAGTGCTATAATTTGTTAAAACAGGAATTTCTGAACTGGGGACCACTGTGTTGGCAATGTTTATGTCTTATTTGGTAGACTTTCAAATTCTAAAAAAATAAAAAAAATCTTGCTTCTCTCTTCTGCAATGATCGCTCTTAGGAACTGAGCTACACTTAAAGAGCTTCTCTTTATAGCTGATCAGCTCTGGCTCTGGCTAGACAGAAGGGCTTGAGAGTATTATTGTTGTCTTTCTATGAATCTAGGAAGATCCACCTCTCCAGTAGAAGAGATTCCCCGGTAGCATCTCTTCCCTTGACCTGTATCGCCTTTGGCTGTACACAAATAGTTGGCAGGCATGAAATGCTCAGGAAGCTGGGAGGCAGTGGAGGACATACTAGGAAGGAATAAATAGCTTTTCCTTAAGGAGCTGCTGTATTGGGTTTATATGGCAAGGCTTTGGTAGTGGTGGGGGGGAAGGGGGACGAGGACACACGCGTCCTGCAGGGGTGGCTTCTCTGGGGCAGCTCCTGATCTGTTCTTAATGTCAGACAGAGCGTGTTTCAGCCGGCTGCAAAATGTACTTGCTGCTGCCCGAAGCTGAGCCCATCAGCAATGCTGGTGGCACCTCTGTGATAATGTATTTAAGAAAGGGTAAAAAAACGCTGCACTGGTCTATTGTCAGTGACCTAATGTTCTTACTCTTGTGCAAAGGTCAGGACAAATCCAAAAAAACCTTCAAGGTTTGTAGAAAATGGCTAAAACCTGGGTGATTTAGAGGTTTTGTAATTTTCTTTGTTTTCTGCAAGGAGGGGCGCCATCAGGAGTATATAATGTTGGAAGATGGAATAATAGAGTAGCCATTCATTCATGATATTTTTCCCAACAAAAAAAGATGCGATTTTATACATTTTCTTCTGCTTTTTTTAGCTTTGAAAGTCTTCACTACAGTTTTTAGTTTCGACTTGTAACATCTTCCAGCCAAGCAACTCACATCTTTTTGTATTTGTATCTTTTTATATTAATGTGCTCATTAACTGACATTTACTACCCTTCAGCCTCTTTCTGCATTGGTTTGCCTCAGAGGCACTGCCCCCAAGCAGTTATTGGCATGCATGAGGTTTGCATTTTGAGAGGGACTGTTTAGTCATCAGCAACAGTAAATATTTATGCTGTGGTAGCACCCAACTAAATTGTTGAACATTTATGCAAATAATTGCTACCCTGAGGGTGGTTAAAGTCTAAAGAAATGAATGAAAGAGAAGATGGGGTTGCAATAACAGTATAATGAGCAGAGTGAAGAATTGTGCTTGGTGACTTCTTTTGGATTATAAGCTTAAGTATGAATGTGCTGGACATATGGATCTTGGTTTGATACTTGCCACAAAGATTTTTCTATATATTGCATTTAATGGCTGTTTAAAGTAAGCATGTAGTTCTGGTCCTTGCTCAGAAGACCCCCGTTGAGTTTTACCTCTCACCTAACAAATCCCTTCATTTTCTCCTGCAGTTTGACATTGTTTCGGGAAGCAGTGTTGTGTGCATCCCTCATCCAGAACTTATAAGCTGATGGCTAAAACAGGCTTTTTGGGAGAGAGAGACTGTAGTCTGAATGTCAGGAAGCAGCAAAGACAATTGAAACTGGTGTCCTACGCAACGGACAAGTGCTGTTATCGCTGGGATACAATTTTAAAATCCAGCCGATTTCCTTTGATAATGCAATAATTTGTGAAAAGCTTTTAGCCTTTAGTGTTTTTCAGACACTTGAAAATTGTTTCTATTAGATTGAGCCTTTCAGGGGATCTGCAAAAAGAAATTTGATGTTGAAACCAGATTGTTATCAGGGTATTCTCAGGGTAGTCACCACTTATGTAGCAATTTCAGTTTTGCAGTGCAAGGACTAAGATAAATTTTAGATACCTAAATTGTTTTTCTGGATTCATAGGGTTTTTTTCAGGGCTGGAAAGGATAGATTCAGTTCTTAGATCCTTAATTAAAATGTTCGATATCAGTTTTGCACAAATATACTATTCTATATAATTTGTTTTGCTGCAGAAATATTCTTTCTGCAGATTGCTGGAGGAAGAGCCAGAAGGAACCGAGTTACTTGTTCTAAAACAGTCTAGGCAATTTTAAAAAATATTCAAAAACTGCGGAGATCAGTTAAATAGTAACTTCCACTTGACAGAGCATATCTAGCCATACCTTATATTACTGGCTCTAGGTCAGTTATTCTGCAAAGGCACAAACTTCAAAGGTATCTTGTTGTTAGGGTCACAGCAGTAATGGTTTCCGTCACGTAGAAGGCACTCTTGTGTCTGAACGACTTTTCCATCTTGCATCAAGCCACTCATGTATAGAAACTGGTGTCCTGCTTTTACTGCTAACAGATAGATGATTATTTAGGGAAATGATAATGCAGCTAATTGTGTGGTGGCATATGTACTCTTTGGAAAAGTATCTCCTCAAACCCCTGCCATCAGACATGTTCTGTCTTAAAGTACCAGAAGTTAGTTATCCGTTACCATAAAAGCTGATTGTCAAGAAAAAATACATGGAAACTGAATTCCTATAAACATTTTCTTCAGGTCTGCTCTTTCAGAAATCCCATTGGCACAGAATAGCACATCCATCTCAAATGTTTACATTTACTACACTTGCACGTTGCCATAGGTCTGGCTGCTTTGAAGGTTGAGTGCATGTCCTAGTCATTGGAGGGTTGGATTTTTTTTTTCAGTTGTTTTAGTTTTTAGTTTAGTCTTGCAAAAGGGCTTTGGATTGATCAGCTGGGGAAAACTCTTTCTGAATCTGTGCAGAAATATTTGTGAGGGTTTTTCGGAGTTCCAATAAAAATGTCAACCGAGAAGAAATGAAACAAAAAGGAGGATGCAGTTTAAGTAGCTTCACTTGCTGGGGTGCAGCTGGGCTTCCCACGGTCTTCAGGAAGATTCTTGCAGTGATGCATATGCATCTCTGAAAAGGGCAATACCCTGCCGGCGCTGGGGTCTCCTTCCTTTGTAGGCTGTTAAAAGGGAAACCTAGAAGTTGTCCACAGGAAACCAGCTGGTGGATGGGAATGGGGAAATTGTTCAAGAAAGCTTATCTCAAGAGAGATAAATCATAATGGTGTTGTCATAAATACTTAAAAAATTGTTGTCACAATACTTAAAAAAAAAAACAAACCCAAAAAACGTAAAACCAAACATAAACAAAACACAAACCCTACTTAAGCAGAATTTTTGGTTCATCTGCTGGCAGTATAAAATAAGTTTGGCTGCTAGCATTTTGTTGCATTGTCAAGAGACTAGAAATTATTTTAAGGAAGCTATATTACAGAATAATTAAAAGCAGAGAAGTGTTTGCGGCTTTGTTTTAAAACCTGAAAGAAAAACATGAGTGATAATGATAAAGTGAAAATAACTCCCCCTGTGCGAAGGAAGTGAGAACTGTCTAAGCATTATAGCCTAGCCAAAACTAACAGCCGGTCCCGGTCGCCAAGTGTTGATTAGGAATATATTGTATTTTCTATTATCCATTTAAGTTGTATTTCTAAATAATTATAATTTTTTGTTCTAAATAAAGAGGTTTCTTTTGTTTATTTGAAACAGAGATGACAGTTTAATCAGACATGAAGTAACAAGTGAAGCTGTTGTGGGGAGAGGGAGAATGTGATGCGTTACAGTAGGACTGCACAAGTGGAGTGGACAGAGGGGTCACTGAGGCTGCCAGTTGCAGTGACTGTGGTCATACCATCCCTTAGGCATCCTGCCCCTGCCTGTGCCTCCCCACCCAGACTGCAGCTGCGTGGTTGGTTTTGGATATAGGTTGTGGGACTATGAACTGCTTTGTAACATGAGCCCACCAAACGTTATCTGCGTCTCATCTGACTAACTGCTGCCTCCCATCTGGGAACTGAACCAGAGTCGGTATTTCTTTAGTGAAGTTCAGTGCAAGAAACACCGTTCCTTTCTAATGACTTGTATTGATTCTTCCCTTTTTGTTTCATTTTGAAATTTCCATGCAGACTAAAATCTTCAAAAATGCAAATACTTGTCTTACTGTAAGATGTGTGTGTATATATATATATAAAAATGCATAAATATGTTGTACCTGTGGGTTCAGAAGAAGCTATATGAGACAGCAACATGTAGGAATTGAAAGTGGAATACAAAAAACGGTCATTTGGAGACTTATGTCTTGTTAAGCTCCTTGTGAAGTTAGGACTGCTCCCAGACTTCAAAGTTTTCATGTTTGGACTCCTTTGGGTCACTTGCCTTTATTTGTTTTGTGCAGAAAGCCTTTATATTTGTGTGTGTGTGTGTATCACATTTTTTTTATATATATGTATGTATGTCTGTGTATATATAAAAAAATTAATCTGTAAACTACTTTCCTGTTTATTTGTTTTTCCCTCTTAGATTACTCCTTGACTAGTGCAGACCTGTCTGCCTTGCAGGGATTTAACTCCCCAGGAATGCTGTCTTTAGGGCAGGTATCTGCCTGGCAACAGCACCATCTTGGTCCAGCAGCCCTCAGCTCTCTTGTGTAAGTAAATTTGGTAACGTTACAGTACCGCACTCAGTTGGGACCTTCTGCCACTTCAAGCTGAATAATCTGCGCTGGGGAATATTTAGCACAAGACCATTTTAATTTCGTGTCTGCTGGTGATGGTGCATTGCCTTTCAAGTTTGCTTCTCGGCTGCAAAAGCATTCACTTTTCATGTTTTTTCAGTTAGTTCAGTGCTCAAGCTGACAAGCTGTGTCCCTGCAGGCCCAGCCTCTTACGAAGGAGTCACCTGCACGATGAACTTAAATGTTTGGAAGTATTTCTGTTTGTTTTTTGACTTCCATAAATGCATTCAGACCTTTAATTAATGCTTTTTTCAGCTTTGTTTCTTCGCTTCAGTAAGTTGCATTTACTTACATACTCATTTTGGGGCTGTTGATCAGCAGGACCACACCATCATGCAGACACATGAATTGTCACTTTCTTTTCCTTTTTCATGTTTTCTTATTTCTGCCTTTTGGTTTTCTTTTTCCCAGTACTGGCAGCCAGCTATCTCAGGGTTCGAATTTATCCATTAATACCAACCAAAACATCAACATAAAATCTGAACCAATTTCACCTCCCCGGGATCGTGTAACTCCCTCTGGGTTCCCGCAACAGCAGCCACAACCGCAGCAGCAGCAGCAGCAGCAGCAGCAGCAGCAGTCGCGGCAGGAAATGGGTCGCTCTCCTGTCGACAGTCTCAGCAGCTCCAGCAGCTCCTACGATGGCAGCGATCGGGAAGACCCGAGAAGTGATTTCCATTCACCTGTCGTGCTGGGAAGGCCACCGAATTCCGAAGATAGAGAGAGTCCATCGGTAAAACGAATGAGGATGGACACATGGGTGACATAAACTTGCAGTGTTGCCTCTTCAGTTTTGCGTTCTCAGAATGAACTGTCCTGACATATCTAAATTTATAAATAAGGACGTGAAATAAGTCTATTTATATGTATATACATACATGCATATATATATCTCCACATGCATATATATGTGCTCGTGTGTGTAGCATACACAAAATCATCAGGCACTTACGACAAACTTCTTGTATAGCTGCAGATGTCCCATGGTAAAATGTAACAGAACAATCCTATAGGTATTGATCTAGTCTGGCACTTACCTGGACTTGTTGTTTTAATAATATAACCTGTTTTGCAAAGAAACGTTGTACCCGCATTATAATCCTACCACACTAGATTGCAGAAACCAAGAGGGCTCGCCTGTAGTAATGTCCCTGTGTGTTTTATTCAAGCTGTATGGTTACTCGTAGTTAAGAAATAATGCTTTGTAGCAGCAGAGCAGTAGAAAAGCAGGAAGAAGAAAGCAATACTGTACATAAAATGACCTTTATATTACCCAACCTGGCATGGGTCTCTATTGCAGAGGGTGCATGGAGAAGGGCTGATGCTGTAAGAGATAAAAAAAAAAAAAACCAACAAAAAAACCCACAAAGATCCTGTTTTGCACGTGCAACAAAAATAGTGTATTGGGTCAAAGAAGTGATTTTTTTAATGAGTGAGAGAGAGACATAGAGAACTCGCATGAAATATTCAGAAAATATTAGCCTAGAAAATAGAACATTAACAAAATAAAATTAATATATTAAGTTATAATTGGAATATGTTTGACAAATTTGTTTTTACGTTCATACCTTTGAAAAATATAGAAACGGATTTTAGCTCATGTATATTTTATATTAAAGAAAACAATACCCTAATGAATTGAAGACTATATATAAAGTTATATACAGTACTTTTGAACACATTCTGCTATGAATTATTTATATAAGCCAAAGCTGTATGTTGTAGCTTTTTTGTAGAGTACAGTTTTATCTTATTTTGACTTTCTAGTTTTTGCTTTCAAAGATGAAAAGGAAAAACTTGCAGGCGGAACCTTGGGGGAAAAATAAGCCATGAACACTTATATGTAAATTTAAATTTGAGCCAAACTCTTTGTGTATATAGCATCCTAAATATATTATCACCTTTGGTGTAAGTACCTATGTATTGTACGTTCACCAGATTAAAAAGTATATTTTTGTGGATTGACGCCAACTTGAAAAAAGGCGAGGTCCTTATTAAGTAGAGTATTCACTGTTTAATATTTACTATTTTGTTAAATATACTGTACTTTCTTTGGATTTTAATTATTATTAATATTATTATCCAGATTTTTCAGAGGGTGTATAAAGGGGTTGTCCCCCTCACTGGTGGTGAATGTGTGCCGTTAAATTGTAATCTCTGTGCTGTATGGTTAAGCTTCATTATACATTTTATATATATGTATATAAATAGCAAAGTGGCAAAAAAAAAAATCCGGTCAAAGAAACGTTGTACCCGCATTATAATCCTACCACACTAGATTGCAGAAACCAAGAGGGCTCGCCTGTAGTAATGTCCCTGTGTGTTTTATTCAAGCTGTATGGTTACTCGTAGTTAAGAAATAATGCTTTGTAGCAGCAGAGCAGTAGAAAAGCAGGAAGAAGAAAGCAATACTGTACATAAAATGACCTTTATATTACCCAACCTGGCATGGGTCTCTATTGCAGAGGGTGCATGGAGAAGGGCTGATGCTGTAAGAGATAAAAAAAAAAAAAACCAACAAAAAAACCCACAAAAATCCTGTTTTGCACGTGCAACAAAAATAGTGTATTGGGTCAAAGAAGTGATTTTTTTAATGAGTGAGAGAGAGACATAGAGAACTCGCATGAAATATTCAGAAAATATTAGCCTAGAAAATAGAACATTAACAAAATAAAATTAATATATTAAGTTATAATTGGAATATGTTTGACAAATTTGTTTTTACGTTCATACCTTTGAAAAATATAGAAACGGATTTTAGCTCATGTATATTTTATATTAAAGAAAACAATACCCTAATGAATTGAAGACTATATATAAAGTTATATACAGTACTTTTGAACACATTCTGCTATGAATTATTTATATAAGCCAAAGCTGTATGTTGTAGCTTTTTTGTAGAGTACAGTTTTATCTTATTTTGACTTTCTAGTTTTTGCTTTCAAAGATGAAAAGGAAAAACTTGCAGGCGGAACCTTGGGGGAAAAATAAGCCATGAACACTTATATGTAAATTTAAATTTGAGCCAAACTCTTTGTGTATATAGCATCCTAAATATATTATCACCTTTGGTGTAAGTACCTATGTATTGTACGTTCACCAGATTAAAAAGTATATTTTTGTGGATTGACGCCAACTTGAAAAAAGGCGAGGTCCTTATTAAGTAGAGTATTCACTGTTTAATATTTACTATTTTGTTAAATATACTGTACTTTCTTTGGATTTTAATTATTATTAATATTATTATCCAGATTTTTCAGAGGGTGTATAAAGGGGTTGTCCCCCTCACTGGTGGTGAATGTGTGCCGTTAAATTGTAATCTCTGTGCTGTATGGTTAAGCTTCATTATACATTTTATATATATGTATATAAATAGCAAAGTGGCAAAAAAAAAAATCCGGTGTTAAGTTCATCCTGCATAAATATAAAAAATCTGTTACGACACATTTTAAGGCATCATTTTAAAACTGCCTCTTCCGAGGAGGGGGGGGGGGAAGAGTGGAAAAACTTGACCTAATTTCTCATGATAGGGAAATAACACATATCAGATGAGCACAAAAGGTTTTTTAAGTCGGTAAGTGGTTTGAGATAAAGCCTCAGAAATAAATTTGCTGTTCCTCTTTGCCGCTTCCATGAAATAGAGCGAGGAGGCCGGAGGCCCATCGTGTCCCAACAGCTGGCTAGGAGAAGGCTTTGTTTTGTACTTGGGTTGGGTAGCTCGATCTGATTTGCACAGTCTGGCTGTGTCGTGACAAGGACAGCAAGGGCAGCGTCGTCTCTCCTCGTAACTTCTGGGTGACTAGAAGTAACTAGGTAGTCTTCTCCTGGTAACTTCAGACCATCGGAGGGGGTAAAAGCCGGGTTTGAGCAGCAAAAAGGCTCGGGAGCCAAAAACTCCGTATGCCGGCTTATACCAGCCTGGTTTGGTGGAGCCCGTTTCCCGTGAGGGAGCGTTCTTGCCCGGTTGAAATCCGGTCTCTTTCCAGGGCCTTGCTATGCGCCTCATCTCCCTGCCCCTCTGAAGTGTTCGTTTGTACCGGGAACCAAATTTATTAGATGCAAATAAATCTTACTGCTGGTAGTTCTAGTTCTGGGGAGGAAACTACAGTGCTGTCTTATTATCCAAATCCCTTTAAGTTATCCCTGATATTTATTAGATTTTTGCCTGGGCTTTAACTTTTTATTTTTTGTAACTGAAAAAATCACTTACTCGATACTGTAATGAGGAAGTGTGAGAAAGGGAAATCCACCGGGGACAGCCGTCTCCTCGGCTGCTTGCTTTAACGGGCGATTGAAGAACAAAGTCAGTATGTACAGCTTCCAAAGCTGATCTCTGGTCGTCATGGTAACTTTAAAAAACGTGCCGGTTTCAATCCGTTTCAGCCACTTACCTTTGGAAATTACTCTCCATTTATTGCAGTTAGTTACCGGTTTACTGAAGCGTAGAGGAAGACGAGACTCATTCTAATGGTGACCGAATTCACTTACCACTTCAGAGAACCTTTTAATGCTCTGAGAAGTTACATGATTTTTTTCATTATTTATGCACATATATGAACTTTGCTGTACATCTGAGTGGGAGTTCTGCATTCACATTTACTGTCTATTTTCTTGTGTGCCTTATAAGATGGCTTTGCTGACTGTATCTCAATAGTCTTTATTTCTATGCAGGTTTTTAAACAGTGCTATTACTGTTTTCTTAAAGAAAAAAGCTACATAAGGGTTAGAGTTTGTATTGAAATTGCACCAATGAATTAAAAAAAAAATAAAAAAATCATTGGTTCTTATGAACGGCTAACGGGACTGGTCACATGTTGCCCCAAGCCCTCCACCAGACTCAGCAGAACAAGTCTTTTCACAGACCTCCCGCCTCAGGGGGAGAATCTCATGCCGTTGAATAAATGGGAAATCCTGATTTTTAATAACAAGTAACTTAACTTTGGAACATACTTTTTTAGGAATTGTAAAAATGTTTTATAAAAAAGAAAAGACGACATAGCACAGATATTTCAACAGGTAAAAAAATACTTTTTTTAATTAACTGTACTGAACGAAGTTGCAAGTGGATCCAATCCTAGTCTGAACCCGTTCAAGTCTGAATGATTTAAGGTTTTTATCTGCTATTGTGACAAATCACCTCTCCATCTCTGAGCTCTCGCTAGAGTGTTTAAAAATACCCGTTATCAGGGCTTCGTCAGAGAAAAATGCTTTAGCCTTTCCTTTCACTTAAAGGACACTAATGCATCAGAAACTTGCGAATTACTGTGCGCACAAGAAATACATAGTAAATAAGGAAGAAAATAACTCCTAACAATTGATCATGGGAAGAAGTTAAATCAGAATGTGAAAGAAAGACTTAACAAATGTAAACATTTAAATCTTAGTAGAAACTTTCTTCACTTTGCTGTGCAAGAGAACACTGCTTTGCTATATTTAAAATGGCTTTTTTAAAAGAGATTTATGTATTTGGTAAATGTTTGTAGTCAACAGTTCACAAAGAAGCTGTTCACGGTTTAATGATGATAAGCCGTTTGGCGGCACAAGCTGGACTTTGTTGCCATCCTTGAGACGAATCTTTTAAGAAAAAAATAAGTTAATCTCAATTTTTTTCCCTGAATGTGTTGTTTTTTCTTCAATATACAATAAATATTCTAGTGAACTTTTTATCAAATGGTTAAGAAAATGCTAGAGGTTGTTGTAAAATATTTGTATCCTGCATTCACTAAAGTAAAGATACTGGCTTTTACTGTGTACTCCGGCCTCTCTCGTATTTGCAGAACATGTTTTTGTTGAGCGCATCTTTGCCCCCCCTCTTCAGGTTCAGTCTTGAAGTATTGCAGCAACGATTCTTTTAATCGGTATGGATTTTTGGGGATACATATACTTGTTATTACATTCAAATTAAGAGCTGATGCTCTGTAAGAACCTTATTACAAACGCTTACAGAAACTTGCAAGAAAACCCTGGGTAGGTTCAGCCTGGTGACCCGAGGGCAAGCCCTTCCCTCCTGCCCCTCTCCAGGCATTCACGTCTCCTTTCGCTGCTGTTGCTCCTGCTTCTTGCTGCAAGTGCTGCTGTGAGCAGGGCAAACAGCCGGGGCGCCGGGAACCTGGTGTGGTGACTGCGGGCAGAGTTGCACCGTGCGGCACTGCCCCATGCCCATCGCTGCTCCACCTCGGTGGCCACAGCTCTGCATTTTGAAACCAGCCATAAGGAAGCGGCACCACCCCCCACACTCGTGGCCATGGGATGGAGTTCTGTGAACCGAATGTCTCCTGTATGAGAATAAACCCTGGCGGAGAAAGGCGTTCTGAATTCTTACTCTTTCTAGTGGCAGGTGGAGATGCTGCAAGGCACTCAGCTGACTAAGGGAAGTGCTCAGTCTAGCTGTGGTGGCAAAAAAGAAAGCGCATGCCGTCTGGGGTGGGTGGTGCCCCTTGTGCTTTTATTTCATTTTGCTTTATTTAAAAATGTAATAAACCCCCCCCCTAGAACAAAGAGAGATACATTTCCTTCACAGAAGAAAAATACAAGGGGTTTTCTGTCAGTATAAGATACTTTAGAGTCCTCATTTGCAAAATTAGGTTCCCTCAGGCTTTCCTGAGCAGTTTTTTGACAGTTGCAGGAAACGCAGGTTCTTGTTATAACATTGTGTGGTTCCACTCGCTTGGCGTGGTGTTCCTCAGGCTGCTGGGAAGCCTCAATCCCATCTCCGCCCCCCACTCCCCCCAGACGCTGTCAGTCTGCTCTTCCTCAGGCCAGGAAGGAAGAGCTTGCGTCTGCAACATGAGCCCGTACCACAGCTCTCACCCAGCTTCACTTTCGCTCATGGAGCTGTAAACGACAGTGTTCACCAAGGCTTTCAAAAAAAGGCCCAAAACCCAAAACAGCCCCTCACGCATTCCCCTGCTGTGACGCACTGCCAGGGTCATTAGTGTCAGCACCACCTACCAGAGGGGCACTGGTCTGGCCTTGCGAAAGATGCTGCCCTCGCTCATACCCCAGCAGGTCGCGGTGGCAGCAGTGCCCACTGGTGAAAGGCAGGGCAGGACTGAACTCCGCCCCGCCACTGCCTGTGGGGCTTAACGGAACAGATCCTGGGGCAGGAGGGGCCTGTGCGGGGCGAGGAGGGGAAGACAAACAAACAACTGCTCTGCCCCCCCTGCCCACCAGCTCTGCCCTCACGCTCGGGAATGACGGCAGCTGCCAGCTCAGCAGCAGGAGACAAGCCAAGGCCCGTGCAAGCGGCTCAGGAAAGGGCTGAGACCCTTACCGAAACAGCGAGCGCCGCATTCAGCTGGCTGCTACTTATATTGTAGCATTACCCCATCCCTGGCCAGGTTTCATGCAACTGTGCTGCAAAATACCTCAGTGTTTGGTTCTACATGAGAGTTTACCTCTGCCCACAGTCTCTGAATTTGCTGAATTAAATTTTGAGGCAAATTCTTCCTGCAACAAAGCTCCCCAAAGCCTCATTTTTCTGCTCACTCCTAGCATGTAGTGTTTACTGACTCGTCCTAAACAGCACAGACATCTCAGGACACCACCAGCCTCTGAAGCTTCATTAGTCTTGCCTGCACGCTCAGAAGCTTCTTAATGCAAACGTCAGGAGTTCACAGAAACACTTAACATGCAGCAGCTTCACAGTCCCCATCCTATAAAAGATTTACACGTCTTCCCGTGACTGTCTAAGGTAATGCAGGGCTTCTTTCCCGGCCCTTGCAAATTAAATGCTACTTAGCAAGGCTCTCCCGCATGAAGACTACAACCAAGGAAACTCAAATCAATTGACTGCAATTGGGTGTTTGAGATGCACCATTATGAATTCTCCCCCCCCAAAGTAACACTGGCTAGAGCCCCTTCCCCCGCCCAACAAATGAGCCTTTGAGAAGCGCGTACTACGTACCACAGGCCTAACGCTACTCTCACATCCTCCTCCAATACACTCTTTGGCCATCTGCAGTCATGCTGAAGTATTGGCTCTGGACATGCAGTACCCTGGTGAAAGCATGGATTCTGCAGTGAGCGCCGTCTGCAGAGACACCGGATTTCAAGAGAAGTCCCTGAAGGATTTCACTGAGGAGGAGAGGTCTGGGCTCACCCTCCCCAGCGGTGGGCTTGAAGCATCCTAATAAACACAGCTTAAACGTTTGCTCAAAAGGATGAAAAGGTGAGGTGCTGTCAGCATCCTCGTGCTGCAGCACACCTAGCTTAACCCACCAGAAGTCACCATTTTAGGGTTAAGTATGCCAACACTGCCATGGTCTGCAAGAGATAAAAATGACAGTCCAGAGAAAAAGAAGAGTCCCCGCTTCTACTCTAAGCAAGAAGTGTTTTCTTAAAACGCAAACAACCCCCAAACTTTCCAATCACATTAATACTGCACTCTTTAGCTCAGCAGCAAAGGATTCGCTTCTTAGACAAGGCATTAATAAATACCTGAAGCAACCAAGATGAGTCAATCGCTACAAAATAACTTTCCCTCAACAGAGTTCACGAACCTTAAGCCAGCTGCCTGATGGTCTTTATAAGCAACAAAGCATCCTTATTCTTCCATAAAATCACATCACCTCACTTTCAGTCAAGTTCAGGATTACAACATCAGCTACTTAAAAAAATAAAAATAATCTGTATTGTTATCCCCTTGAATGCACTCGAGTCAGAGTCACTGGCATACGGGCTTCAGTGCCGGGAGGAGAGGCTGTATTTGGCTGCCTCTCCCCCTTAGGATTTTTTTTCTACAACTGAGCTTTGTGGTAATTTCCCTTCCAATCCATCCATTGAAATATTTGAGGTTAGTGTTGTGTTGGAGGTATGGGCCACCAGGCCTTGTGTTTTAAAATAGATGATATAAAATACTGGCAGGACAATTCCTATCAGGAGCATAACAAAAACTGCGTTCCACCACTGGATTCCACAGTCCGCACCATTACTGGTCTCCTGCTTCCCTGACTCGGGCAGCGGCCTCTCCAGTGCTTCCATGCAATACTCTGTGTTTAGCTGGACCTCCACCTGCACCGCATCCTGAATGCTCTTGTCAATCCCCTTGAAGTAGTCGCTCAGGTGCCTGCCGTCAGCAGAGCTGCTCGCACCGTCATCAGGCTCCGGTAAGTCCACCAGCGTCAGGCCGGTCTGGGAGGGCCCCGTCGGGAGCGGCCTTAGTTCTCTGCCATTCTCCGTTAACAGCCCATGGGTCTTCACGGGGATCTTGATGGACTTCAGTGCATACAAGTCCTGCTCCCGGATGAAGTTGTTGACGCGTTTGATATCTGCAACCTGCAGAATCCAAAAAGGACACAAATATTAGTGCAGGACAACCCAGCCTTTTACCAGTACTGAAGCAGGAAGCAGCTACAAAACTAGTGCACAAGCAGCAGCCAGAAAATAAAAGCAAGCCCTGGCTGCAAGCGGCTTCGTGTTTTGCAGAGATTTCCCAGCTGTTCCAGGGATGCTCCAGGTCCTGCAGGATAGAGACGGTCCCCTATTAAACCAGTCTATAACTTCCTCTACTGCTCTTCTGTCTCTCATGGGCTGCATTTTGCTTAATACTGTTTTTCCTTCCTTCTGCTTTCTTTACCCTTCTCTCACTTACTTTCTAATCCAAGTTAAGGCAAGAAGAGTCTTTATAGCAGATCCTTTTAAAAATAGTTTTCATACCTTAAACAATGCATGAGTGTTTAAGGTGAGAGGACAACGTCACTACGAGCAGGGAAAGCCCTCCCCCTGCTCAGAAAGTGATTTCAGAGTGAACAGAGCTCCATCTTTGGAGCACACTGCAGTTTTGAAAGTAAGATTACAGCCTGGCAGAGAGCAGGCGAGCCTCTCTCCCACACAGACACGAGCACCCTTTGCTCATGTTCCCAAGCACCACCCCTCTTCTGCACGACAGCAGCTCCGTACAGCTCATTTCTCCACAGCTTACGGCAATAAGCTCTGTGCATCTGTGATCGTCTTTGGTTGTTCGCGTGTAGGGTCTCCAGCTGTGACTGGTATTCCCACCTGGCTCGGTGATGCAAAGAGCAGTAAGAAGAGCAAGAAAGAACAAACCATACATACGGCGTAAGTCACAAGGGCAGCCATATCGAAGAAAAGACAAAGGCAAGGCAGCGTTTCTTTATTCAATGTTAAATAAAGAGAAGACAGCTTAATACAGTGTGCATTGACAACCACCTAATAAGTAAGTACAAGAACTTCTCAGTTGCCCTAAATCCTCTGTCCAAGAAGACAAACAGGACTGTCAACGCGTGCAAGGAGCTCTCCAAAGCTGCCTGCAGAGACGCGAAAGAACCTCAAGGGAAAGGCTGGAGGATGCAAAGTGAAGAAAACAGCAAGACCCCAAACCAAAGAGAAAGGCAACACAAACAGGTTAACCACCTCCGACATATCATACAGAAGAGGCACGGTACGAGGACTGCACTTTCAGAGAAAGTTTGAGTTGTTCTTTTAGAAATCTCGTAAATCACTGTATGAACTGCATTCACAAGCTTGAGACTACCAGTGAAACTGGGGAACTGAAAACAAGAAAGTGATTTACTTCCTCAGCAAATGTGTTAAGTGCCATCAGCGCCAACATCATTGATAGTTCAGGGCAAAGATCTCCTTTTGAAAGACAATACATGAATACACCAGAAGGGAGCCTGAACATCCACAAATGTGCAGGGCTACTTGCAGGCTGTGCTGCTGCCGGCTGGCTGCCAGGAGCAGGGAGGTACCAACCCCAGCAGCACAGGAGTGCCAAGGGGAGGGCAGTCCTCCCTCCCCTGCAGGGAGTTCCCACAGGTCGGAGGACACTGCACTGGGCCACAGGAGAGAGGAGCTGCAGCAGCTCTGCCTGCAGAGCTGCCTCTCTCCGTGGATCTCCCCTCCAGCCCGTACAGGCTGTCAGGGAACCACACATCAAGCTCCTCTACATGCCATCCCTGAAAGGTGGCAGGTCTGCTACGTCACAGCCAGAAAGCAAGACCCTGCTGAAGGGTAGAGATGAGATGAATGCCCGAATCTCACATTTACTCTGCAAAGCTTGAGAAATCTGAAAATAGGACGTTTAATGTAATCCTAATCTGGTGCCCCTCAGGTGAAGGGAATCCTCAGTGGCTGGTTCAGACCCCTCACAGCTTGCCCCAGCATAACATCAGGACTTAAAACCCACAAAATTATTTAGTTATGAAATAACAATCTGACCCAAAGCCTCCTAACTGAGGTGGTTCTTCAATTTTTTGTTTTGTTCCAATGAAAGCAAATTATTGGGACAGGAAATATCCCCTGCAGTGTCTGCAATCAAACACTGCAATGTTGTGCTAAGGCTCTAGAAACAGAAAGTGGAACAGCACTCACGCAGAAACAACAAACAAAGCTGATGGGAAGCATGCAAGAGCACTCGGCTCCACAAGCCATTTAGGCTTATTTTCTGTACTCATTTTTTTGGCTGCAGCGAGCTCCTCTTGTCCCAGCTAAGAACAATGCCAAAAGCAGGCCAGGACTATAAATGGTCAAGAGTAAAAATGAGAAATGTAAAGTGCTTTGCATCTCTGCCAAGTTATCTGTAGCACACACAAAGCTATTTGTTGCACTGTCTTAATACCCCCACCCCAAGTAGGCCCTGACGATTCTGAAACCAATGACAAGTTCTCATTGATTTCAAGGAGAAGCTCATCCTGGATGTTTTAAACACAGTCGCATACATTTGTGGCTACAAATCTTCCTCACTGATGACCTGAAAGCCTTTCAGGAGCTGCTTAATTGTGCAAGTAAAACAAAATACATCAAAATTGATCAGTGCCAGTCTGTAAACAGACAACAAATGCACAGATCTCCAATAATAAGGATTTCTGTACCTCTTCAATTTAACTGGAACAAGTCAGAAGTGTCCTTTCTGGAAGGGAGGGAGGCAGCAGGACAGTTTTTTCCTGTGGGAGGAGAACACTGACTACATGGTCTCTCGCCATCAGCTTGCCTTCTGTACCAGACAAGCCCAGCAGCCTTCAAGCAGGTCAGGCAGAGCAGATCTACCTGCACCTGCTGGGGCTGAAAGGCTCAGGGAGCGGGGCAGCAGAGGAGGTAGATGAACAGTCATGGCAGGGACAGGACTGAGCCCTCCCGAGTTACAGTACAGGGGGCACAGCAGGCTTTTTCATGCCATAAACCAAAGGAGTTGTTCAGAATCTTCCTTCTTCACCAAACTGCTGTGATTTGGCACAAGAGGCAATAACGATGCAATTGCTACTATTTAGAGATGAGCATATAGTCGTGACTACGAAGTCAACTGCTGTAGCTCTGAGTTCTCATGCTCTACCGGTGCCAATCAAGGCCTATTCAAGTCCTACCAGACTCGCTTCTTCACATGCATCAGGCTTGTCAGCAGAACCTAGAAGGGTTTCTTTTTTGTTTTGTTTTTGTTTCTAAGGGAATGGGAGGGGAGGAATTGTCGCAATTCCTCTAAGCCCTCTTGCTTCAGCTGCACCACACAGCTGTGTTGTTAAGCAAGACATACTGCAATAGTATTGCAGCAGTTGAGCCAGTACTGTATCATTATCTCCATCCAGGTCACTGTCCAATTGTTTGCATCATGGAACTTTTTAATCACAGTCTAGCTTGCAGATAAAGGAGGCTCTAAAAATACAGCTTTAACTGCTAAACAACAGGGTACTTCTAACATTCAGATCAGGTAACTAAACTTTTCAACAGTTTCTCTATGAAGCGCTCTGCTTTGGAACAAAGAAAATGTATTTTGTAGTATGTTCCAACTCCAGAGAAAATTCACTGTGCACTCCCTTCTGCCCACGGATGGCTGAACCGCACACACTTCTGGGTACAACAGCAAACAATCAAAACCCACACGCACAGACAGCACCTGGACTCTGTGACCTGGACTTTGGCACCTCTCCTTCTCCAAGTCCACCCCTGTTAGACTTAGACTTTCCTTGCAATATGTAAGCTCATACCTTCCAAAAAATAAACGGAAAAAAAACCCAAACTAGACCCCGTCGGAGTGGCATTTCCTTGCGCTGTTCAGTTTTCCTCAAAAACTGTACGCTCCTTGAGAGCAGAGCTCTCACCCTCATCTCTGTACTCAGCTTCCTACTTTTTGCCCTCACTTAAATAACTAAGTACAAATCATGACTGCTACACTGCACTTAGTCACCTAAATTAAACAGGAAAGCAGGTCACGCAGGGTGTGGGGTTGACAGCATCTTCCTAGGCTGTTAGCTGAAGAACTCATTTCTGTTTGTTTGTTTTTGCCTTTCTCCAGCTCAGTTTTACCCAGATATTGACCATTCATGAAATACACAGGGTAAACACTTTTCAGTGTCAAAACTATTAGACAACAGCATGCCTTCCTGCAATTCTGGAAACTAAACTACACATAAAATACCTCTGAAGTAATTAAAACCAAGCAAACAGACACAGCTCTTACTTTACAACCATACTGCAGGGCTAGCTTGTTAAGATTATCATCCTCTGTAATCTCTCGTTCCAGAAGTACCACGTCTCCAACTCTGTCCCGAGAAGTGCTGCATCGCTGCTGCTCCTTGCCCCTCGGTCGCAATTCCATAATGTTGAGTTCCTCCTCTGATGACTCTTCTGAATCAGATCGGCCATTGGGAAACACATACACCTGCCTGCCCGGGTAATTATGGATGGTGACAGGAGCCTGGAAGGATTTTGTCCGGCTCTCATTCAGCCTCATCTTTTATACCAGCACCTGGAACAAAAACCAGACATTTTAAATTTCCTTAATACCTGTGTTTATTTCTTAGCATGTAAGATATGGGAGAATGGATAAAGAGCACAGTAGTTGCACACGTGCACACACACACAAAGCTCTCCTTCTACCCAGATCTTCTCAGGGGCAAACCCAAAAGATGCCACTCTAACAGCAGTGACAGAAATACCAGAAACCTTATGTACACAAACTTCAACAATGGGTAGATTATTTTCAAACTTTTCTTTTGTCTACTTATGGACAAACCACTACGTAACGCTACTTTGCTACACATCGTAAATACTACTTTCTGTAATTTCATAAAAAAAGCAGCAGATGCACTTGAGCCAGGTGTCTCCAATTATGGTAAAAAAAAAAATCCATGGAACCACCACATCAGAACTCCTACCACATTAAAAACTGACCAAAATTATCCTTTATGTCACCTTTCCAGAAGTCCTTAGTTCTCTACACTTTAGGAACCCACATTTTAATTTCATGGAAGCACACTTTTCTTTTTTAAATAAGGACAGCTCAAGCCACACTTAACTTCAACCTGAATGACAAGGTCATTTTGTTGTATGAAGACAAGAACCTGCCTGAGCACTTTGTTTTAATTATTGCTAGACCTACAGCAGCAAGTTATTAGGAAGCTCCTTTTTTTTTTTTCCTTCAGTCCTCAGCTCCACAAACAATTTGTTGTCGGGGTCAGGTACAGGTAAGAAAACTCCCCCTTCTCATGGAACTCCACTGACCTTAATATTCTCAATCTACCCATAAGGGAATCTTATGGTGAAACCAGCACCATTTTATGGCATTTCGTTAGTACTGAGCATGGCACCCGCAGGCTGCAGGCAGGGTCACAGCAGTGCTATAAGAGCTTAAGGTCTAAGGCCGCGGTCTCCCTGGACGCTCCTGTGGGACACCTCCGCCTTTCGATGAGCTGTAAGCCAAGCGCCCTCCTCAGAGGCTGCTCTCCCGACGCACTTCACCTATCGTTCCTCCCCAGGGAGGGCCAAAACTCTTCTCAGCCCGGCTCTGGCCGCCCCAACGCCCGCACCCCTGGGTCGGGCGGGCAGGGTGCCGGCCT